TTGAGAATAACAGAAAACCACTCCTCACATTCGCACACCCACGACTACGTCGGTGATGACAACACCTTTTCCAGACGTCTTGGCACAAACGTGGATCGGTCTCATACGGGTCACAATCACCATATTGAAAGATGAACAAGATCGTGTCTTGTAGCCTCGTTTTCTAAGAAACATTCCCTCAATATTGCATATCGCTCACTAAGTTGAAGCATACTTTGTCCGGTTGAAGTGTTTTGATATCATCATCATCAAGACCATAATGAAAAGAAGAGCACATAAGAAACCGCTCCAAGATCTTCCGTTATCGAAGTCTTAGGCAAGATGGATTGCCTCTGATCTCCTGTTAGGTCCGCACAATGTTGGTGTGAAAGATGTGCGTGACGTGGTGTTCATTGGCGCCAAGGTTTACACTGTCGTTCTTGCCCATGTTGTTGGAGTTGACCTTGAGAGCGGCAAGTCGTCACTGATCACTCTCATCATCTACAAAGTATTCTACAGTATCCTCTGCTGTATGATCTTCAGGTCACTTCAAGACTCACACGACGAGAGGCTCGTTTCTTCTCCATAAACCGTCACGTCATTAGAGGTGAATGCCACCCCGATTACAAATCTTGGGCGAATGCCCGTGATCTCACGAGAGCGTTGAAATGGCCCCGAAGGCTTCAGAGTTTGCTGGTATAGACCTAGCTAAGCTTGAGAGACGCTCGATGAAGTCTATTCAAGAGCATCTTACTTAGCACCGTATCCTCAGAGAAGACACATGTTTCTTAAGGGCTCCCATGGTTCTCAATGTGCAGAGGGTCAAGAGCACCATTGGCGTGACAGCGGGCGAGAGTTTCTCCTGACTGACACCTTGTCCTATCCACCCCTGGCTCCATCTATCATTATTCGGCGGCCCGTACTTTTTCAGGTATCTCAATCAACCAATAACACTACCGCATGTCACCCAAAGTCTCCGAGAATTTTCATGTAATTCTTACGTTATTTATGCGATACTTGAAACGTATTTCTCAGCATCAAGATGGAGGGGCAATATCCAGCGTTAATTTTCATGCTGTTAGACCAGCATCATCACCATCACCTAGAGGGATATTCCTTTCCATTACTTTCCTTGATTTCCATATGTATAGAAGTGGCGACTTGCCATGCATTCTTTGCATGACAATCGTACTCGTGGATCCACGCATCACAGTCCGAAAGAGTTCTTAGACCCGGGGGTCAGAAACCCCCATCGTGCTGTGGTAACTGCCCTAGCCCGTCAAAGGCAATGTCGTGTCTGCTCAAGTAAATCAGTCTAAGCCCCATTGTGCACTCATCCCCCTTCATTATCCCTGCTTCTGTCCATTTATTCTATCTAAAGATGATAGCCCGACTGGATCCCTTGAGTCGCTTGACTACAGCCCTGGCCGTCTATGAGACATAAAATAGTCGGAAAGGCACCATCATCCCCGTAATTCACAGCTCATGATCAACAACCATTGTTTCTACGGAGATGATGCTTGGAATTCGAGAACAGCGACAATATATAAACTTTGACGTATCCATGATTACAAAAACACTACTAGAGCACGTCGAAAGCGACATCGCTCAGAAGTGGCGCCGCGGCACAGGCTTTTATGTTTCAATGCTTCATAGAGCTATCATCTTTCGCTGTTGTTGTCATCTTCTGGGTATTGTCAAGAAAGCGTTCTCATGAGACGAAAGACGACTGCACAGAACCATACCCCCATTTGACAGAAATCAATAACACCCACGATGGCTAGTTTACATGGACATGGCGAAGAGCGCATTAACCTGGTGGCGAGATAGCCTTAGGGACATCTAGGTGATCTTGCTACCATAAGACTCACTGGCTCAAAATTGTGAGGCCAGCCCAATGATTTCTTCTTTCGTATTCTCCTGTTTTGTCACTCAGAGAATAGAAAGTTAGAAACGTAACATCTGTCGAAGACTCGCTCGTAATAGAACTTATCGTACAGACAACCCGCAGTACGTCTCTATGCCTCCCGGAGCCCTGACTGCACCTTGGAGAATAGCCACAAGATGATGGATGATCATGATGAAGTGAAACGAGCCCGAGCACATTCCTTGTCTTTGTAGTCACTGGAATCCGCTGGTCCTCCGGCTACTTGTACCTTAGGCTTTCGTGCGTATCGCAACAACTCAGAGGTTCCATTCTTGCAGAAACAAGCTCACGGAGCGAAGGTTGTTGTGGGATTGCATTTAAATATGGAATGGCTTTACCAATCAAACTGATATCAAACAAAATGCGTTGTGTCCTTCGTGGTAGCCCCAATTTTGGCAATCAAGTTCGCTCACGGGGGCAGTCCGACCGATATGGTGGTCTCCGATGCGCCAACGCAAGTTGCAGGGAAGGAAGGCAGGTCACCCCCATTTCTCAATTCGGCCGGCATACTCAACTGATGATGGAGATGACGGAAGAAGCCCGACATACATGTAAGCTCAAATAGTAGCTCCGCCAGTGCTCGAAATCGCAGATGTGTCGTGCGACTCTAGAGATTACTACCTATATTTGGCACCCCAACAGGATTGCAATTTTTATCGTCGTGAGAAACGCACTTTTTGATATTGAGAAGACTGTTTTATCGAAATTCCTGTGAGATTAGATCATTCTCGTGCGATGCCACAAGGTTGGCCATCCGACATGCCATTCTCGTACCAACAAAAGCGCATAAGTGGGGGGGGGGGGGGGGGGGGGGGGGTTGAGTTGGGTTAGGTTCAGAAGCGAGCATTGGGTCAACGAGTCCCAAGAATACCGTCACAGAAGCGCTGGTCGGTATAAAAAAGCACCTAGGTAGCATAGAGACTAAGCCGTCAGGCAATATCTGTCCGTCCTCTGCAGTTGCTGCTGAGATCAGAACAAACTGAAATCCTTCAGGGGCTTGTCCGAGGATATTGAGAACTGGTTGAACGCAAGCGGTCGGTCTACATGAGTCAAATCTGTCGCCCGGGAGCTCTTGTGTCTTCTCTATCCTCTACAACTGCGAATAAGTGATGAACGGTTTGCTGTTAATCATGTATGCCATTATTTGTTTCAGTTCAAGCTGTGATGTATATGACAGACAACTAGTCGCTTGACAGCGAAAGTCATTACAGCGCAGGCAAATTATCTCTCTTCAAACTCATGTAACTCACACCTCAACCCTCACTAATATATTAATGAGGTTTGAGTTGAAATGATCTAACAGGGTCATTACAGAACTCATTCAGATGGCCATTGAAGTGCTGTGAACGGCGGTGGTGATTGCTCGGATCGGGATTCCGACAACCAGCATCTCTTCCACTCTCTTTAAAGTCGAAGGAGCTTACTCTCAGAGGCAAGGAGTTTCTCTGCTCTCTTACGGGCGTACTGAGTGAACTCGTGTACAGGAAAGAGTCTGGTTACGCAAGCTAACGATTACTACCATTCTCACTACTGGTGGCAGACCCTTCATCGCGTTGCCGACATCATGTATCCCGAATAGTCAGCGGGAGTTGAACAGAGATAGAGCCCAGAGACAACACAGCCCATGAACCTACACTTAGGCTCTGTACGTGGGCTGGAAGTATGCGAGTCCATCAGTTTTATTCAATGGATGCCATGAACATTACGCACCAATGATGACAAAGAATACAATTGAAGAACAGCCATACTCACAGGGCTAGGCATGGCTTATTATATAGCTGCGATGGCGAGCTTTTCACGATATCGCGATGTTCAGTAGACCAGCCGAACCCTGCTTTTCCTGTCAAGGCCAGCATGCTAGAAGACATTATCACAGGCCCTTGAACACAACGGCTCAACGAGGCCCGGTCCCCTTCAGCAATCCCAAGCACACCTCTTACACCTTCAGCTCCTCCAACCCATCTACCAATAACCGCCCAGACGAATGTAGGCTCCCAGCCAGCAAACATCAACCGGAGCTGCTCTCGCACCGCACCTTCTCCCCTCCGGATCCGAACCCGGTGGTGCCCTCCCCAAAGCCGAGTCCAGCCTAACCCTCCAACTCCCGACATCCCTTACACAACCCACACGACCACAGCGAAGACCACACCCCAGCACATACCCGCACCAAACAAGAACACATCCAAAACCACCCGACCCCAGCCCTAAATCCAGAGGCGTGTCTCTATCCTCCCTCCCCCAGAAACAAAGCAGAGAGACCCGGAAAAGCGAGGCGGGGTGCGTAAGTGCTTTACCGGACGAGGGGGGGAGGGAAGATCCCGCGCCCTCGGGTCCTGCGATCCCGCATCTTCCCGAAGAGGGCCCCCCTCCATCCACCGGGACTGGGAAGTATTCGTACCTACACTACTACACCCCGGGAAAAACCAGAAAGGTCCCCACAAAGATTACTTTGACTACATGTCAAGCTCATAAAAGCAAGAGACTTGCGAGATGCAAGATGCGGCGGACGGGAAGGGGGGAGATGTGACGGGGTGCATGGCATGGCCTCCACGCGGGAAGGTCAGTTAAGTCTCCAGTCCACTTAGATCAGCCCAGGGCAGAACTCCTGTTCCTGAACTTCAACTTCACCCCAAAACAATTCAACCGTCAATGTTCCCCCGTGGACAACTTCCCAATCCGTCACCCCTCTTTTCTAGTAATTCAATGTCAAGCTTTCGTGTCAAGTCCGATGTTCATCCAAACTGCCAAACATGCCTTCAGAGGCACATTTTCTCTCACGTGACCTCGTCCCCTGTCCCCTTCCTCTCAACCAATCATATCCCACCTTTTAACTCTGCTCTGTGAAGTGTTCCTCTAATTCCCGAACACCACCCACTTTTTTATTCCCGCCGGGGGACGGACGGCCAATGCTCCCTCCCTCGCATTGACAGTGTCTGTGTGTGCTGCTGCTGTCCAGTGCTTGCTGTGTCGCGCGAAATTTCGGGAGCCGCAGCGCAAAAAGCTCAACAAAACCACCACCACCTCTTCATCCCGCCAAATCACCACCACGACCACGCTGCCCTTCCCCTCTCAATCCTAATCCGACGACGACAAAATGGCCGCTATCGTCAAGGCGATCAACGCAAAGATCAGGTCTAACCCTGTGACGGACTATGTCTGCTCTACCCGTACGTGCCTTTTCCCCTCTCGAATTTTTTTTTCAAGGTGGAGGGTCCGCGGCCGGAGTTAGCGGGGATTATCCGCACCCAAGCTCCCCAAAGGGAGGGCATCGCAAGCTCTTGAAGCTTTAGATTGCTGTCGCGATGTGATGAGAAGCTCCGAGAAGCCCAATTAAAGCGAATTGCATCGTTCCCGGGGCTTGCGGCTGAGAGAAGGAGCTGTGCCGTCACCGGCCTGGAGCTCCGGCGCCGGAGGCCCGGGAAGGCTGAAGCCTGTCGCGATAGCTTCGCGAATGAGTCAAGTCGAGAATGATATAGCTAACAATACTTGACCAACAGACTTCTGGGGCCCCGTCTCCAACTTTGGTATCCCTCTGGCCGCCGTCATGGACACCCAAAAGTCTCCCGACCTGTACGTTTCCCCGCCGCCGCCCGCAATCGCAATCGCGATATCTGCCTCCCCGAATCCGCACCCAGATAAGGAACTTTGATATACTGATACGCACGCCAACAACAGCATCTCCGGCTCCATGACCGGTGCTCTTTGCATATACTCCGCCACCTTCATGCGCTACTCTCTCGCCGTCCAGCCCAAGAACTACCTCCTCTTCCTCTGCCACTTCGTCAACGAGGGCGCCCAGCTCACCCAGGGCTACCGCTGGCTGCAGTACAACCACTGGGGCGGAAAGGAGGCCCTGAACGCCAAGAACGCCGTCGAGGGTGTCAAGGACAAGGCTGCCGCCGTCGAGGCCAAGGTCGAGAAGGCCATTGGCAAATAAGCCCTCGACATACCTTTAGCAGGGGGAAGGGAGCTTTCTTTATGACAGAGGGGGTCGTTCGGGGGCGTAGGATTGACGCTTCCTCGCCGTCGAGGTGGTTACCAGCTGAGATGTAGGGGCCGCTCTCGCAACGCCCGGGAGGGATGTTACGAGTCTCGTTGACCACGAGTGCCGTGAATGAAGACGTGATAGGAGGAATCCCCGTCTGAGAGGTCATGGCTGGCTCCCGCATCACCAGCTGGGGCGCGAAACGTGGGTGGTAGCTGGCGGTTTACTGTACCATCATCACCTTTGCATTGTGGACATGCCTTTTTTAGTCTTTTTTTTTCCTTCCCGGGAACGGGACCCCTGATTCCCGGGGGCAAACATCCAAGGACGCGGGCCTTTTTTGTCGTTCAGTCTCCGGCCCGCTATTTCGTATAATAGAAAAAGCGAAACTGTTTCTGGGATCTATGGCACATGTGCCAGCTTCGAACTGTGAGAGCAAGAGACAAACATGTTCAAAAAGGTTGAGTGACAAAGTGTGTGTATGAGAGAGTTTCTCTTGGCCGCGATAGCCAAGAGGTCTGGAACTTGGATGTGGAGGGTAGCAGTGACAACGGCGCTTGCAATCATGGTCGAGCGGCGGTGCTTTGATGGTGGACCGCCGCTCTCGGGGCCTTGATCCGAACTATGGGAAGTCTGGAAAGGTTTCCCCGTGAGTTTTTTCGTAGTTTTTTTTTTTTTTTGCGCGCATCCATTGTCGGTGGTGCAGTGACAGCTGGACNTTTTTTTTTTTTTTTGCGCGCATCCATTGTCGGTGGTGCAGTGACAGCTGGACGGAGCGGAGCGGAGCCCTCCTATTTCGGGCGATTCGCGCTTTGTTTCAAGGGCCGGGGCCAGAGACAGGAGGTCGAGGAGGGGTTGACCAGGACTCTGGACAAACAACGAGAGAGATTCGATGAGTCAAAAATAGGTGTCGTCTCATCTCGTCCACAGGTTGCTCGAACGTGGACAGACTGCATAGTGGATGTCTCTCCGAAACTGCGAGAGCACCGACACGACCCCCACTCTCTCTGTCGATGTTGGCACCTGGGCATGATCTCGCCGGACGGCCGGCCGAGTGTAGATCCATCTCGTCCCTGGTGTCCTTGGCACCGCCGCGCATGCACCGCTGGAGTCCGGCGTTATTAATCGTGGGGTGCAGGGCGGGTACGAAGACTGCTGCTGCGTATGCCTCAAATAACCTTTGATATCCGCCGACTCGAAAGAGTCACACATGGCAGGCGATCACGCAAGGTGGCAGGGAGAAGGGGGGCGACCAGCACCGATTTCAGGAGCTGAGGCGGCCAGGCTGAAATAAATGTCGCATAGTGTGGTGATGTTGTGGCTAATTCTCATTACCATCGACAACTCCATCGTCGTCCAGCCTCGTTTGCGGACTGGAGATACACCGTGACGCACTATGTTGCTTGCGCGCTTTGAGTGAAGGGGGCCTGGGAAACCAGATGCCGGCACAGCCGACGTCGGAGTATCCAGATGTGGTTGGGGAGTCATCACCATGGTAGGTATGGCATGGTGGGTTTAGGTTGGTGAGCAGGCAATTTTTTCCTTTCCTTGCTGCAAATGCCGCTCGCGCTTTGATATCGACGCGATTGGATCTAGCGAGAAAAAGAGAAAACGGGGACGTCAAGGCTTCGATGGGGGGCCAAGAGTCTTGGAAACGACCCGGAACATTGGGCTTGAACTGCGCAGGATAATCTGGCCGAGTCGCCCGCAGGCTTGCAGCACAAGTGAGATCCAGAGTGGCACCTTGGCGGTGTAGCGAGTCGAGCTGGTTGATACGGCGAGTTGCAGTTGCACCTCGAGATGCACCGGCCCAGTGCCGATGATCCAGTCTCTGGCGTGCCCAATTTCATGGGACTTGTTCCTCTTGGGGAACACGGGACAGGCCCTGCGTGGTCCGGGGATTTTACCTCAAGAGTCAGTGGACCGGGAATAACTTTCGAGTAATATGGGGGCTGCGCGGTTTTGTTTTGACGGAGGGACCTGGGCGATTTAGGTCCTGCGCCTGGGATGGTGCGCTTCTGGCGAGTGGCTTCATGGCTGCCGTCTTGTAGTTACATGTGGTCAGTGATGATCCAACTGGATGGACATCGTAAGGTGAAGTGGGCGGTCGCGGCGGCGGCGGTTGGCGGTTCCAGTAGCCAGTCCGGGCCAAGGTCGGCGTGGCCTGCCTTGCCGTGTCGCATCCCATCCCATCCCAGGGCTGGCCGCTGGTGTGGTGGCGGAAGGGTAGCCGGCGCTCGCTGTCTTGCGGGCATGCCCCTCGGTGCAAGAGGCCGAGGTTGACGATATTTCGGATATTGTCTTTCTCCCTAGCGAAGCTGTCTGGAAAAGAATAAGACGTCAAAGGGTAAACAAAAGGCAGAACCCTGTGCAAGTCACCCCGTCCACCCCGCATTCTGCGACGAGCTGGACCGCGGGGCGAAAATGGTCAGGAACGGCGTCCCGAGAACTTCATCGCAACGACTGATATCGCGTCGAGTTGTCCCGAAGAGAAGCACGGGCTGGGTGGACGTCAGGCCGTCGAGAGAGGCGGACGTCCGATCCGTGACCGTGTAGTCGGGTGGACAGCCGTGTTATCCTCGGCCTTCGGCAGTGGTCGCGCCCGGGGAGAGCCCATACAGGCTTCTCAAGCTCTAGGGAGTCCCGTGAAGAGCTCGTGAGATTGCGAGGATTGCCGAGCTGGGTGCTTCTCTCTCGGGATTGGGGAAATTATGTCGGTATCTTGGTTTACGAAGGGTGTGCAGTGTAGTGTTTTTGGTGCATGAAACCTTGCTTGCCTTGTGACAGGCGCCACCACTTGCAGAATGAATGCTTCAAGGTTGTGTGTGCTTGGGGATGTGCAAGACACCGGCACTCGGCGTGTCTTGCCAATCCAATTGGCTTAGGTTTGCAAGTCAGGTACGCCTGGCTTCTGGTCTTTCCTCTTAGACCGGCACCTCAGGTAATTCGTGCTTGGCTCCAGCAAGTAATTACGATAAGGCAGTTGCTGCTTTCCCGACTCTGACTCTCTCTCTGCAGGTTGGATTTTCCTCCAATGCAGTCTGCAACTGCCATTGTCGCTATGTCGCAATTGGCTCTGTTGCTTCCAGAATCTGTTAGTCAAACCGGAGGAAAGCAGTTTTGTATCGGCGAGCTGTGGTTGGCCAATTGGTTGAGGTTTAGCGGTGTTTTGCGACCCCGCCATCATCGCTTTTTACTTTTAGATTTACTACGGATACTTATCACTTGTAACCTGGAAGGTGTTTGGAGGTCGTGTTTGAGGGGGAAACTGACATGGCAAGCGCTGGCGTCTCAACGGCGAATGCACCCTCGTCTCTGGCGTGGACCTGGACCTGAGTCAACGTGCGGCGGTGCTGACGTTTAGTCTATAGATATCAAGGTGCTGCTTTCTGTTTTGTTTCGTTGTTGTTGTTTGCAGATCCCATCTCTGGGCATTCTCATCAACTGTCTCAGGAGCTGCGGTCAAGGCACCGGCCCGCCGGGGAGACTGAAGTGAGAGGCTGGGCATTAGCATGGGCGATGGCCAGTATCTCAACCGTGGAAACACATGTGGTATCTCTCGGTCAGGGATGGGCGGGGGGCTTGCTGCTATTCTCAGGGCTTCAGGGCTGCTCTCGGGGCAATGCGAAGCCAAGAGGTATCACCATCTCAGGTTGGGATTTCACATGTATCCGCACGCTACGCTACCAGGATCTGGGCTCCGGGGTCATCAGCCAGACGACGAGCAGCAAGCAGAGGACGGGCAGTCTATTGAAAGATTGACTAACTGCATTGCCCTTTGAGGTAAAGGATGCTCGATGAAATGTACGGGACACAGCAGCGTGATCATCGCCGTCGTCAGGTGGGAGAGGTACAAACGCCGAATGCCGGCGAGACATGCCATTGCATTTCTCAGGGCGATGAGGCTTGGGACAGGAAGAGGGAAAAAAAAAAAANAAAAAAAAAAAAAAAAAAAAAAAAAAAAAAGGGTAGCCGCGACAAAGCGTGCTGTTTTGAGTGGGCAGCTGCTATCGCAGGGTGGCCCAAGCTCTCGTCCCAGCAGCATCAGCCAGAGGTAAGGTCCGCTGGAGGTAAGGAAGGTAAGAAAGGTCCGGTACGTACCTGCCTGCCCTTCAGAATGGGACTTGGGACTTCCATTGTACCGCGGTACGCAAACCCACCTGGACGCCCCTCTACCCCTCCCCCTCCTCTGGTCCTCTTTCCACCAGCTACACCTCCCATCTGATGCACCTGGCTGGCTGCCACGCACCTCATCTCGCGGCATCTCGCTCCTCGACATGGAGGTACCCGGATACTTCTCTACCTGGCTGCATGCCTTTACTTCGCGCTAGCTGCTGGAGACAAGGTCCCCTCCTTCATGACGACGAGGGGCGACAGGGGAGGGGCCTCTGGTGCCGTCGCCAGTCGGTTTCTACTTTCTCACCACTCCCTCACAGTCGACCACCACGTCTCGCGGAGAGGTCGGCCTTTTCGTGCGTTGCCAGCCCCAGTGCCAGTGCCAATGCCATCTTTAGGTTGGTCTGAAGTCGACGGATGGACATGGCCCTCTCAGATGGATCTGTCTGGTCTGGTCTGGTCTGGTCTCCCCTCCTGTTGCCCGGGGTGTACCTACGAGGAGACGAGCCCTGGCGAAGAGGGAAGGACTGACAGACATGCCATTTACTTTTCTGGCACCAACCCAGATACAAATAAAATCCCCTCATCCCACGAGCTTCGTGTTCATCCCGTCCCTCCTCTCTTCCTCTCCTCGTCCTCCGCCATCTGTCCGCTGGCCGCTGCTGTTCTTGCTGCTGCGTACATAGTATTACATCGTCGTTTGTGCTCCCCCAGATACCACTGCTTGTTCGCATCCACCACCGTCATACCCCCCCCACCCACCGACATCCACTCCCGTACCCTTCGGTCGGACGGGTGTAAGAGCGCAAAAAAGAAAGAGAGAAAGAGCTGTGCTCGCTTGTCATCGAAGCTCTCAACCTAACCCCGGCAAAGAGCCAGCAAGCTTCCCTAGCTACCCCTCGGCTTTCATTCCACGTCCTCTCACTTCAGGACCCCGTCGAATCGAATCCCGTCGGCTCAACTTCTCAGCCCACCACACACGGCGCGTCTCTCTGCTTCGGTGCTTCGGCTCATCTGGACTCTGTTCCCCCTGACCCTTGTACCCGCCGCCGCCGCATCTGTTGCTGCTGCGCCTGATCTGCACCTGAAAGACAGGCGGCCAGAGACCAGACCACACACACCCCCAAGCAAGCGGCACGTCCGACGAGCTTGTTGCGTCTAAAAGCTTGGGATTGGAAACCTGGGAGAACCCCACCAACCTAGACCAGACCCAAACCAAACCACCCCGCCAACCGAGAGCCGACGCAATTGTCTCGCACTTGAGACCTCAACAGCTTTCCCTGCCCCTCGGTCCCTTCAAAATAGGCCGTTGTCCCTCTCGAAACTCTCTTCCTTCTTTCCTCACACCTTCCCACACGCTGCACAACTGCCCATCATGGCCCAGACGCAGCCCACATTCAACGATGTTTTCGAGGACGGCGATGTCGAGGAGGTCCAGAAGGACCCCCAGACCATCCACCACATTCGTGCCAACTCGAGCATCATGCACCTGAAGAAGATTTTGGGTAAGCTTGAACCTCTTTGAGCTGGCTCGAAGCCGAAAGGAGCTATCCGAACCAATCCCTCGAGAATTGCGCTGACCAGTGTGTTCATGCCTATAGTTGCCAACCGTGGTGAAATTCGTAAGTACATCCATTCATCCGACCCTGACTCACGCAAGCTAACAGTTGTTCAGCCATTCGTGTATGTTGAACCTCCTCGACGATCAAGGTACTATCTAGAATTACAATGCTCACTTTTCTGCCTTTATAGATTTTCAGAACCGTAAGCTACCCAACCGGCCGCGCCATCACATCTGGCGACGCATCGCTGACTCTCTGTAGGCCCACGAGCTGTCATTGCACACCATCGCTGTCTTCAGGTAAAACACGTTGCCTGGCTCGAATCAAGTTTCGCATACTAAATCTCGCAGTTATGAGGACCGTCTCTCCATGCACAGACAAAGTATGTCCTTCACGCAGCTGCTTCTCCTCTCTGTTCCCCTCTAATCATTGTTCCACAGAGGCCGACGAGGCATACGTCATTGGCAAGCGCGGTCAATACACCCCGGTCGGTGCTTATCTCGCTGGAGATGAGATCATCAAGATTGCCGTCGAGCATGGCGCGCAGATGATTCACCCAGGTAAGAGCACCAAAAAACCACCATTTTGACATGTGTTAATCCACCGCCAAAGGATACGGCTTCCTGTCAGAAAACGCCGAGTTTGCGCGCAACGTTGAGAAGGCCGGCCTCATTGTAAGAGATCCTGTAGCAGCCCCTAAAATCCGACAACCCACTGACTCGGGGCCCGTTTTAGTTCGTCGGACCTACGGCCGATGTCATTGACTCGCTAGGCGACAAGGTCTCCGCCCGAAAGCTCGCTATCGCTGCCGATGTCCCCGTCGTCCCCGGTACCGAAGGCGCCGTTGCCACCTTTGAGGAGGTCAAGAGCTTCACCGATCAATATGGTTTCCCCATCATCATCAAGGCCGCCTACGGTGGTGGTGGTCGCGGCATGCGTGTCGTGCGCGAGCAGGAGAGCTTGAAGGAGTCTTTCGAGAGAGCCACCTCCGAGGCCAAGTCTGCCTTCGGCAACGGCACCGTCTTCGTCGAGAGATTCCTCGACAAGCCCAAGCACATTGAGGTCCAGCTCCTCGGTGACAACCACGGCAACATTGTCCACCTTTACGAGCGTGACTGTTCCGTCCAGCGTCGCCACCAGAAGGTCGTCGAGATTGCTCCGGCGAAGGACCTCCCCACCGAGACTCGCGATGCTATTCTCAACGACGCCGTCAAGCTGGCCAAGTCGGTCAACTACCGCAACGCCGGTACCGCCGAGTTCCTGGTCGACCAGCAGAACAGGTACTACTTCATCGAGATCAACCCCCGTATCCAGGTCGAGCACACCATCACTGAGGAGATCACGGGTATCGATATCGTGGCCGCCCAGATCCAGATCGCCGCTGGCGCCACTCTGCAGCAGCTCGGTCTGACACAGGACCGCATCTCCACGAGAGGTTTCGCCATCCAGTGCAGAATCACCACTGAGGACCCCGCCAAGGGCTTCTCCCCTGACACTGGAAAGATTGAGGTCTACCGCTCTGCCGGTGGTAACGGTGTCCGTCTCGACGGTGGTAACGGTTTCGCCGGTGCCGTCATTACCCCCTACTACGACTCCATGTTGGTCAAGTGCACTTGCCACGGCTCAACATACGAGATTGCCCGCAGAAAGATTCTCCGTGCCCTTGTCGAGTTCCGTATCCGCGGTGTCAAGACCAACATTCCTTTCCTTGCGTCTCTGCTGACGCACCCCACCTTCATCGATGGCAACTGCTGGACGACCTTCATCGACGACACTCCTCAGCTGTTCGACCTCATTGGCAGCCAGAACCGTGCGCAAAAGCTTCTCGCGTACCTTGGTGACGTTGCCGTCAACGGCAGCAGCATCAAGGGCCAGATTGGCGAGCCCAAGTTCAAGGGCGACATCATCCTGCCCGAGCTTCTCAAGGAGGACGGCACCAAGCTCGATGTTTCCCAGCCCTGCAAGAAGGGATGGAGACAAATCATCGTCGACCAGGGCCCCAAGGCGTTCGCAAAGGCCGTTCGCGCCAACAAGGGCTGCCTTCTGATGGATACCACATGGCGTGATGCCCACCAGTCGCTTCTGGCCACGCGTGTTCGTACCGTTGATCTCCTGAACATCTCCAAGGAGACCAGCCACGCCCTGTCCAACCTGTACGCTCTGGAGTGCTGGGGAGGTGCCACCTTTGATGTCGCCTACCGCTTCCTGTACGAGGACCCCTGGGACCGTCTGCGCCGCATGAGGAAGGCAGTCCCCAACATCCCCTTCCAGATGCTCCTGCGTGGAGCTAACGGTGTGGCCTATGCGTCCCTTCCCGACAACGCCATCGACCACTTCGTCGAGCAGGCCAAGAAGAACGGTGTCGATATCTTCCGTGTTTTCGATGCCCTGAACGACATCGACCAGCTCGAGGTCGGTATCAAAGCCGTTCACAAGGCTGGAGGTGTTGTCGAAGGAACAGTGTGTATTTCGGGTGATTTACTTGTGAGTTCCTCTTTCCAACTTTTCCTCTTCTCCTTCCCTCTTTGCTTTACAAACCCTCTTCCTTCTCATTTCTCGCGCTTGCCCCCTTAGCCCGCCTGCCCTCTTTCCCAGAATGCAAGTACATTGCCCTTTGCCTCCATTTCTGGAAAGCACCTTCCACGATAGCAATGTGCAAGTGCATTGCTCTTTACCTCCATTTCTGGAAAGCACCTTCCTCGATAGCAATGTGCGCATGCCGGAGCAAGTATTTCAACGCTGTCACACACTTCTCGACTTTTCCAACTACATTTCTCGGACATCACTCCAAAACTCCGAGTCGCTTCGAAATACCACCCGCCTACACGGTCAGATCGCCACACAACCCATCCCTTCATTGCTCTTCCCCTCCCAGTATCCCAGTCGTTCAAACGTTCAACGTCCCGCATCCACGCCTACACTTTCATCTCCGCCTCCATACGCCATGGCTTTCCAGGCCGGCACCCTGGAAGAGTTCATCCTTTGGGTGTGCTGGGTCATGCTGTGCCTGTCTCCAAAGTGGGCTGTCAACCCCGTCTTTCACAAGATCTTTGCTGCCAAAGAGGAGATGGCCGCGTGCTTGGAGCAAAGTCCTATGTACTTTGCCTCTGGTCTGTGGGACGTGGTCCGGTCCGAGACGCCTCCTGCTATCGATTTCTTCAAGAGCCTCCCAACACAGTACGTCAAACGATGGGCGATCTACGTCCTCGTTCTTGAGAAGGCCGGTTCTATTCCCAAGATCTACATTGGTGCAGGAACCGAGAAGCGGAGCGGTGTTGCCACGAGGATGGGGCAGTACCGTCGAGGAGAGAACTATGCTGCGAACGTCCGAAAGGCCCTCAATGACGGATATCACATTGTTCACATGGGTCTTCTGTGTTGGATGCCTCTACCTCCAGCCTCTGCACGAATCAGATGTCGCTGCCTGTTCCTTATCCTAGAGGCTGCCTTTACCCTTTGGTTCTGGGCCATGGCATCAAACACGGCAAACTACGGAATGCCGGTGTCTCTACGTCCTTGGGATCCGGAGACTCTCGAGTACAAGGGATGTTACGGGCATTTCTCACTGAGGGAGGGCGCCATCGAGTTGAACGATGACCTATCGTCCGCCGAAATCAACGTTATCGAAGCAGAGCGACGTCTGAAGAACTCTCGGAGAGACGCCAAGGTTCGCGGCCCTGTGCGCACCGCCCGAGCCGCCAAGAATCAGCGGCAAAGGAACTTGGCAGCTAGAAAATGGTTCTGTCACGCATGCAACGTCAATTTTGGTGCCAGAAACCAACTGCGTCACCATCAGACGCTCCAGAAGCACACCGACAACGTTGCCGGCATCACGAAGCTGGTAAAAAACCCTCGTGCGAAGGCTCGCAACCAGGAGAACTTCGACTCGAAGCGGTATTATTGTTCCATTTGCGATTACACCGCCAAGACGCAGCAAAAGTTGAACTGCCACCTTGAGACCAAGAAGCACGAACGGAACGTGGCTTCGTTGAGCTCCTAGCTCGACACCCTTCCGACTCAGAAGACTCGTTTTTTTGGACGCCGCATCTTATACCTTAAGTGCAATGCACTTTGCTCTGCTGCCATGCTCATTACATCTTCTCGACCTGGGCGCACATTTCATGCCTAAAGGGAAATGCACTTTGTTTTCGCGTTTTGTTCTGTTCGCGTGCTCACTTCATCTCGACATCATTCTCGTTTTCCTCGACTTGCTCAACTAATCATCATTTAGAATCCGAAAAAAAAATACAATCTCGAATACTACCTCAGCTTGGTCGATAAGCTGGTCGCCCTCGACATTCATGTCCTCGGCCTCAAGGACATGGCCGGTGTCCTCAAGCCGCACGCAGGCACTTTGTTGGTTGGCGCTATCCGCAAGAAGTACCCCGACCTTCCCATCCACGTCCACACCCACGACTCTGCCGGTACGGGTGTTGCCTCAATGGTCGCTTGCGCCCAGGCCGGTGCCGATGCTGTCGACGCTGCCACCGACAGTCTGTCCGGTATGACTTCTCAGCCCAGCATCAACGCCATCATCGCTTCCCTCGAGGGCAGTGATCTCGACCCTGGCCTGAACCCCGGCCATGTCCGCGCTCTGGACACCTACTGGCAGCAGTTGCGTCTGCTCTACTCGCCCTTTGAGGCTCATCTCGCTGGCCCTGACCCCGAGGTGTATGAGCACGAGATCCCCGGTGGTCAGCTCACCAACATGATGTTCCAAGCATCTCAATTGGGTCTCGGAACGCAGTGGGCTGAGACCAAGAAGGCGTATGAGCACGCCAACGATCTCCTCGGCGATATCGTCAAGGTCACACCCACCTCCAAGGTCGTTGGTGACCTGGCACAGTTCATGGTCTCCAACAAGCTCTCCGCTGAGGATGTCAAGGCCCGTGCCTCCGAGCTCGACTTCCCCGGCTCCGTCCTGGAGTTCCTTGAGGGTATGATGGGCCAGCCGTACGGTGGTTTCCCCGAGCCCCTCCGCTCCGACGCCCTCCGTGGCCGCAGGAAGTTGGACAAGCGCCCTGGTCTGTTCCTTGAGCCCGTTGACTTGGCTAAGGTCAAGCGTGACCTCCACAAGAAGTTCGGCGGTCCCGTCACCGAGTGCGACATCGCCGCGTACGTCATGTACCCCAAGGTCTTCGAGGACTACAAGAAGTTCATCCAGAAGTACGGTGACCTCTCCGTCCTGCCCACCAAGTACTTCCTGTCTCGTCCCGAGATTGGTGAGGAGTTCCACGTCGAGCTCGAGAAGGGCAAGGTCCTTATTCTCAAGCTCCTTGCTATTGGCCCTCTGAGCGAAAACACTGGCCAGCGCGAGGTGTTCTACGAGATGAACGGGGAAGTCAGACAAGTCACCGTCGACGACAACAAGGCCTCGGTTGAGAATGTCAGCCGTCCCAAGGCCGACCCCTCCGACTCTAGCCAGGTCGGCGCTCCCATGGCTGGTGTCTTGGTTGAGCTCCGTGTCAAGGACGGATCTGATGTCAAGAAGGGTGACCCTATTGCTGTTCTCAGCGCCATGAAGATGGTAAGTTCCTCTGCCGATGCTGCTTGTGTCCTGCATACTAACATACTACCCAGGAAATGGTCATCTCTGCTCCTCACAACGGCAAGGTCTCCACCCTCCAGGTCAAGGAGGGCGACTCAGTCGACGGTTCGGACTTGGTTTGCAGGATTGTCAAGGCTTAAGCGGGGAATATTGGCGAGCGGCATCTTTTATGAATTTTAAGCACTACGAAAACTTATGTGACATGCTAATGTCTGGGGCGCGACGAACGGTTATCTAGCAGTTTGGACGTTTACTTAGAAGCAAATTTATACCATGATTGAACATATCCCACTGTTCTCATTGTTGTCAGTGTTCTTGTCGTCGTTGTCCTCGTCTGTCGTCAGCCTCATTATCCTCACTATCTCAGCTGCCGTCACCGGCGTCCGCTTTTGTTTCACACTCCCAAGACTAATCATGTCAGTACCAGATGAAACCAGCTCGACGAGATCGTGCGGTCTATTGGCTTCGCTTCTAGCTTTACATCCTAGAACCTCTCAAATTTCACAATGACATGTGGCGCGACGTAACGGGCTACTGTATAATCCTCCAATGAACAACGATATATTTTGTAAATCAAACTATTTTGTGAAGGTTTTTACAACTTCAAATTGCTTTTTTGACGTATGCCAAAGCCAAAGGATGGGCGTTGGTTGAGATGATTCTTCGATGAGACGTCGTTGGTGTGGATTTGTGACGCCTCGGGGATGTCGGCAAGTGACATCATTCGCCTGTCAGAGCTCCTGACCTCAACTCGCCAAACGATTGCCCCTCGTACGAATTTCAAACCCAACTCATACGTCAAGCTCCGGAGGTCACTCGCCCTTTCCCTCAGCAATCTAATTTACGGTCGGCGTCACTTTTCATCAGCGATTTCCGCTTGTTTCATTGCGGTATTTAGCCTACACATCAGCTCACCCTGCACACATTCAAGCTTGCGATGCCATCTGACCCCGCCCCCGCCATGTCGTCTGCAACGAAGGAGATCCTCGGCCGCGTTCAGCGGATGGTTCCGCCCATGCTGGAGAAATTTCACAAAGGTACGGCGTCCTCCCGGTCTTGGTAGACAGAGAGACTGACGCTCGGTTCGTAGGACAGCTAGGCCGCGTCGCCGTCATCGGCGGTAGTGTGGACTACACGGGAGCACCGTACTTCTCAGCCATGGCGAGCGCCAGACTGGGCTGCGATATGGTAGGCCCCCCAAAACTCCCATTCCCACGATCTTCGCCGTCAAGGCGCCCGCCATTGGGTTCAGAACTGACATACACAGTCACACGTAATCTGCACCCCCGGCGCCGCATCCACAATCAAAACCTACTCGCCAAACCTCATGGTGCACCCCCTGATGCGCCAGTCCCCCTCCGAGGACACCGCCTCCGCCCCCACGGACGCGGACAAGATCTCGGCGCCCATCGTCGAGATGCTCGCGCGCCTGCACGTGCTCGTCATCGGGCCCGGCCTCGGGCGCGACCCGCTGATGCAGGACACCGTCGCGCGCGTCATCCGCGCCGCCAGGGAGCGCTCGATCCCGCTGGTGCTCGACGCGGATGCGCTGCAGCTCGTGCAGAAGGATCCCGGGCTCGTGAAGGGGTACGCGCTTGCTGTGCTCACGCCGAATGTGGTTGAGTTCTCGCGGCTGTGCAAGGCGCTTGGGATCGATGAGGGGAAGGCGAAGGAGGGCGCGGAGGGGGGCAAGGATGAGAAGGAGACGGCCAAGGTTGAGGCGCTGGCGAGGGCGCTTGAGGGTGTGACGGTTGTGCAGAAGGGGGCGAAGGATTTCATCACGAATGGGGAGGATACCTTCATTGTGGACCTCGAGGGCGGGTTGAAGAGGAGCGGCGGGCAGGGGGATACGCTGACGGGGTCGATTGCCACGTTCTTGGGGTGGAGGAAAGCATATCTTGATGGATTGTGGGATACGGGAGATAGTAAGCTTGCGGAGGGGGAGTTGGTGAGGTTGGCTGCGTTTGGAGGGTGTGCGATTACGAGAGAGTGCTCGAGGCGAGCGTTCGTCAAGAAGGGGAGGAGTTTGCAGGCGAGCGACCTCACTGACGAGGTTCATGGAGCGTTTATGGAGTTGTTTGGGGAGGTTGATGGACCTGCTGGGAGCACCAAGCTGTGAAGTAGAGGAAAACAAAAGGATTGAGGCTATGATGATGAGCGGCATTAGTTATCAACATGTGTTTAGCTGACCGCCGTTTTCGTATGATGGAAATAAAAGATCTGCTATGTTAAAACATGTGTGGCAACACTAGTTCAAGCAGAGATCTTCCCAATCTCGAGATATCACGATATCTACCTACCTCTCACGTAGGCTGCCGGGGATATCACTGTGTGAAGGAACTGAGTTGTTGCGGTTGTGAACAACCCGCCCAAGTCTATTTAAGCCTGGCAAGAGTGATGCTACTACGGAGCAGGCAAATTGTCTTCCAACCCAGTTGTTTCGTTTTGTGCCTAATGAAGACATCACTGTAAGATATTTCCCTCGAAACCAAGCTTCAGTAACCTTTAGGCTGAAGCTCAAATGATTCCACCCATCCGGATCGTTCTTCACTTTCCATACAGTATTCCAATCAGTATATTTGAACTATCGCATCAAACCAGGCGTATGTATGGTTGCGCAGGGCGTTCATGCAGTTATATCTTTGTTCCCTTTATAACCAAGGCTCTCTCCTCTTCTATCTCTTGCATTCATCAGGTATTCACTAGTGAATACCTCCTAAGCAGACCCTTTCAAGTAATCATACATGCAGAGCTTGCCCAATATGTGATGTTCAGAAGCACTATGTAGCTCTTGGTCGCCGTTGCTGGATGCAACTTTTACGTAGGTAACCCAATCTGCTTCCCTTCGAAACGAACAGATCCGAAACGAACATGGCGATTGCGTGTCGCGCATATTAACACCCGGCCTTTGGCGCAGCATTCCTTTTATATTCTTCACACTCTTTGCATGCCACGCACCCTATAAAAAGACCGTCTTGGTATCACTTTGTTACAGACAGCAACAATGTCGCTTGTGCTTCGACATTGTACTGATTTCCCAGTAAGGCGAGCAGCATTCTGGAAAGCCTGTCACATGTGTGCGATGTCTCAAGAGATATTTCGCATTATATCTTTAGTGTCTTCTGATATTTCTATTCTTCTCTGAGTATTCGCCCAAACATGACTTTTTCTGAGCCCAGATTAATTTCAAACCTTCCTCCCCCATACAGAAGCAGAACTGCATAATCTTATGACGAATGGCGATCACTCACTCCCATCGGCACTCAGGGCCAGACAGTTTCTCGCATTGTGTTGCAACAAGTTGAGATTATCATCAATCAGGTGTATTTATACAACTCATCATCACCGCTCCAAAAGCACTCCCAGAGCACGCTGGAGCCCGCCTAAGCATAGACCCCGCAGCGTACACGAAGACAGGCTGAACGAACCATTGCGAGCGCCTGTATAAAGCGCTTAATTTGTGTAACAAACAACAGCAACGAGGCAAATGAAATCTGCGTACCACATTCTGGACAAAAAGAAGCTATCCTAACTGTCATCTTAACAGCCAGAGACAGAACCCCATGTTGCGGATGGAAGAATATGAGGCAACCTTCACGAGTCACTTCACCGTCCGCCAGGCTTGTTTCTCCCCAAGTATCCCGTTATTAAGTACCCTCAAGCAACCGCAAATGAATCAAAGCTCGGGGGTGACGGTCCCTCGGTACGAGGATGAATTAAAACGAAGGCGAGGCAATGGCTCACGTACGGAAGTCAGCCTTGGCTCGATCACATTGGTCTTTGGAGCTACGCTCTTAGAGTACAGGATGCAATTTTATAGCTGGTGGCCCTCGATGACGACGAAGCATGTGCTCACTAGAGCCACCGGCTTCCTCCTGAAGCTATGGAAACCGACGGCCTCTCTTTCGCGTTGGTGCAGATATTTGACTTGCGCAAGAATACAGAGGCACGAATGATGACCGGGGGATGACGGGCAGAGACGATAACAGAGGCGAAATTAAAGTCATGCGAGAAATCCCTTGAAATTCATACATGCGAAAGTAATATATATACAACCGCCTGAATCTCACCCACCGTAGCCAGTTCAGACCCCAACCACTGCTGCCTGTGGCGTATGGAAAAGTCAAAAAGCCTCGAAACTCGACGAGATAGGCTCGCTGCCTAAGCCCTCCACCGCCGACCACTTTTCTCAAAGATGTGCACGATAGCTACTGACCAACCGACTCACCCACCCAAACGCCAATGCCGAAAGAACCCTTAACCGTCCCTGATGCAGCCCGAAATGCCTCTATTCAAATCATAATCATTTCCGTCGTCGTGCTCACTAGAGTCAGCTTTGAAAAGCTTAAGCCAGGTAGCGGTAAGTCGGGGTCGAGACGTCCTCCACTCGTTCGAGGTACTCGCGTACAATCAGATCCTCGATGCGCTTTTTGATGAGGGTGACCTCAGGCGTGAAGCGACTCTTGAGTTGCTCGATGACCTCGCTAAGGAGGTGCGTATGGGTGAGCTCCTTGCGTTGCCTGTGAAATGTTAGCCAATGCCACAGCGTAAGGCTGCCGGGGTAGCATACTTCATGATTCTCACGAGCGCAGCGTCGATGACGTGAGCACGGGTCTGGTTGTTCTTTTCTTCGGTTTGCTTCCTCTCCTCGTCGCCCTCGACCTTTGATGTGGCGTTGATGATGGGAGCCTTGATGCGCACTTGCTTGCTGACGAAGGCGCTGTTGAACCTGAATTTGTCCCCAGCCTTGACTGACTTGGTGGCGGGCTCCTTGAGAAGAACCCTGGCTTTCGGAACGATGGAGATGGAAGCAAGAACCCTAGTGAGATCGGGTGTGGGAATATTGGTTTTGGCTTGAATTTCCTCCAGAGACAGCTCCTGATCCTCCTCCAATTCATTGAAGAGCATGAGAACGACCATGCCATATGTCGGGACATTCAGCTCATATCGTCGCTCGCGCGATAGCGGCCCTTTACCACCAGGGATAGCAGGGAAAATCATCTTGATATCTGCGCTACCGGTCGAGCCCAACCATGTCAACTTGCGACCACTGCGGTTAGTGAGATAAAATTTGAGCAAGCTGTCTTGCAGGCGTTTGATCTCATCCGGCCAGTTGCAGCCGGCACCATCGGCGAATTGC